CCTCTGATTACAGCTCTCGTCTGTGTGTTTTCAGGTACATGTCTGCGACAGTGGTGGATGAAGAAGTAAACCGTGTCCTCGTGGCTCTGTCCTGCAGTGACGGGGCTGTCAGGTTGGTATTCATCACAGCAAGGGTTCACACAGCTGGAATTTTCACTGAAGCTGCAGAAAAGAGAAAATCAGAGTGTCTTCGCATTGAGTTGATGCTCTCAAAAAGTATTATATTCAGTACTGGGGTGATGGTACTGGTGATTATAATAACCATAATGATGAATGTAACAGAATCAAAGGCTTTACATTTCATTTATGTGTGTCCAATTGTGTATTGTGGCAATAATCAACTGCAATCATCAGTTTTGTATTTTCAAGTATTTTTGCTCAATTTTGCCAACACGTGTACCATGCAGTCACAGATGTTAACATATGTGTAAGGAAATATGCATTGATCCTGCAAGATCTTATGTGGTCAGAACATCAGTATAATAACCAGCATTATGAATTTTTACCTAGTTATAGTCCAAAATCTCTTCCTCCTTGACACTTGTTTATTTGGGCTGAACAATGGGAGTTTTTGGAGTTTAACATATTATTCTGTAAACATCTTACTCGCATGTTTATTTTGTATTCTCATATAGCCTGGTATTGAATTTAGTCAAGTTATACTGTGGTAAGTTTTAGCATAGATTTTTAATCTTATTTTTCATGTATATTCAGATAATTAAAAGAAAATATGGTCATTAAAAGTCGGGTGGAAAATTAAAGGAACTGTTTTGGTAATCATGTACATGAACCCTGTGTGCTGCTATAGTGTCTAATGTTGTCCCTTAATACTCTTCTCACTGTTTCCTCACATCCATTACTGTTTTTTCCAGACTGTTCTCTGTCAATGAAGCGAAAGGTCAAATCGATTTGCTGTGGGAAACATTCTACCATCAACGCTGTGTACTCAGTGTCGCCACCTGCAGCCTGGAGGATGACAAAGGCAACAGGTTATGACTGTGATTGCTCATCTTTTTTTCCTGGGTTGTTATGTCATGCTTTACAGAACCAGACCACTGCTTTTGCTGTTTAATCTTTTTAGACTTAAAGTGAAATATATTTTTTTAAAAGCAGCTGGCGTATTAATACTACAGATGTACAGTATTTAGGAAAGCATGGAGAAAGTAGTTCTTTTTTTAACACTTAGTTTTATATCTATAACTGTGTCTCTCTTGCAGGTATAAGCTGCTGTTCAGCGCTGCGACTGATGGGAAAATCGCAGTGTGGAATTTGACCGACTCTTTGTCCTCATCAACGGATAATTCGAGCTGTGCTGCAACATCACCAGTCCCCTGCCTCGATGTTCCCGCCCACCAGAGTGGGATTAACTCATTGGCTGTTTGGGCAGAAAAAATGGGACAACAACAGGGTAGTTGCCTGGTAACTGTTGCTAGCGGAGGAGATGATGGACAGCTGACTGTGTCCACAATCGGGGTGCAGCACTCAGAAGGTGGGAAAATCGGGAGCCAAGTAGGGTTTTCTCAGATTTCTGAGTCTCAGCCTCTCCTACAAAAGCAGCTCCAGTGTCCAGACAGGCTTCAGATTCATCTCCACTCCCAGTGCCACATATCACTGGCCCATGCTGCCCCTCTAACAGCGCTGAAGGTCCTGAGACCAGACCTCTTGGTCTCCACTTCCTCAGATCAGAGGGTTTGCCTTTGGAAGGTCTGCAGTAACAGTATCAGCCACTATGGGGCAATGTGCTCCCACGTTGCTGATGCTGCAGGGCTCGCAGTCTGGGAAAGTGAGGAAGGAAATCAGAAAGTGAAGATAGGATTTGAGTCTGAGCAGGAGAATGCTGGGAGGCTCAAGAGGGATAAAGAAACAGCTGATGAGAAAAGCAGTAAAGAACCTGTTGAGGTAGAGAGCGAGACAGGTGACCCAGTTAGTAAGACTACTGGTGAGAAAGAAGAGACGGGCACAAGTCGAAGAAATCAACCAGAGAATGACTGCGTAGGTAAGCCTGTGAGTGCAGTAAAGCCTGAGACAGGTTTGAGGGAGCGATGGGAGCGATGGGCGCTCGTCTGCGGTCAGGGCTTCCAGCTACTACGAGTCAAGAATCCGGAGATGGATGCAGAGAAAAATGGAGAAAAGGGAAAGCTGGACGAGCGAATTAAAGTGACTCTCCAAGAAAAATGATTCTGAATAAAAAGATTAAAGATACTTTTGTAAAAACTTCACAAAGGGACATATTTTTTAAAATTATTTCTCAATTACCTGTCTTAATTGCAGCTGTATACTTTGATGTAAATGTATGTCTCTGGTAATTGTTTAAAGTATTTATTCTCTAGTTTTTGTTTCTTTATTTTTTGTTGCATGAAAATGATAAAAACATTTATTCCCAGTCAGCTACGTAGAAAAGGATGCTGGTGTTATTTGTCTCTCAGAAACAGTTCATAACTTCCCTTCCAATCATTCATGTCAACTAAAAGGTAAACCTGTTTCTCCATCACCTGTTCAGCTCTGATGGTTCAGTAAGGACATCTCCTGGTTTCATCTTCATGTTTCCCTCTCACCAGATATCGGTTGGGATATCTGGTGAGAGGGAAACTGTGTTGACCAGCGCCTTTACGGCTGTGGCTCCAGCAAACGTCAGTTGATACTAGAAAGTAATATTAAATAAATTATAACAACATCTTATCAAGCTTAAACGTGCTGCTGTTGTTTAGCGCCACAATAAACAAACGAGACGGGACTTAGGACAGCAAAGCCGATCAGCTGATCATTGATCAGTTTCATGATTGAAGTAGCAACAGGAGATGGAGGGAGAGAGAATGAGAGAAGAAGAGGCAGCTGCAGCGTAAAGACACAGATTAACTCCAGCTTTGTGTCTTTTTGCTTCTTTTTTTTTTTAATTTTTTGCTGAAGTTCGGGACAATTCGCGTTTCTTTACACCTAAATACGGAACTTTAAAGTTCGACCTCATCAGCTGTAATTGGTCCTGCCCAGAGTCGATCATGACCAATTGGCCAATCCACCACCTTTCATTGTTTATACCGTTACAAAAAAACGTCGCCCCATAAAAACGAAAAATCACCATTGGCCCACCGCCGATGGCCAGTCCAGCTATGTTCCCAGTGTACGGTAATTAAATGAAGGATTAAAAATGTTCTTTAATTTGTCTTAACTGATTTCAGATCCTTTAGAAAGCAAACCATTTATTAATTTCGTAGATGCGAGCAGCTATTTTTTTTCCTGGTGTTTCCTTTAAGAAAACACTGAAAGCATTCACGGCACAGAGAACATTAAAAACCATCTCTGATGTGTTTGTGGCATCTGTGGCCTACTTTAGGGAATAGTACCAAGCTGCACAAAGATGGCTGAAGTGACTGGAGTTATTTTTAATACAGTATGGTGCATCTCATCCAGCCAGGAAATAAAGGCCTTTTTGTTTTTAGATGAAGAGTCTTGGGAGTTCATTTCTCCACACAGTAAAAACCTCAAAACAGAAATTTGCAGTGTAAATCTAGGCTATCACCTCACCTACTCCCAAGATTTGTCCTCAAGCAAGGTACTTAAATTCAGATTGGTTTATGTTCCAAAAATGTGTCTGTCTAACATTGTGATGAGCTTAAAGCTAGACATAAAAATGCAAACTGTCAAAATAATTGTCACAGGACAAATTATTTGAGATTAGAAGTCTCAGGAATCTCCTCTGAGACCTGACTAATCTGCAGCAGAGGCTCCCACTTTGTCACGCAGCAACCACGAGGGTTTAAAAAAGTAATTGTAGTTTGAGTCAGTTCATAGTGTCAGTATGTTGTGTGTTATTGGCTGAAAGCGAGGATTTATATAACCACTCCTGCCTATACTGTGTATATTTGCGTATTTGTTTATAAAATGCAAATGTAGTGCTTTGAGATGAGATGCTTAAGTGGCACGTTGATATGCGACTGTGTGTGTGTGTGTGTCCCTGGCATGCAAATGTAGCTGTGGAAGATGCCAAAGAGAATATTCACCTCAGGCATGTTAAATGTCAAAAAGTACAAAAGAGTGTGTGCTCAATGTGTGTTGATTCACTGTCACCTGCTTGGAATTTAACTACGAACACAGATGAAGTGCCCACCTGCACTCTGTGTGTGTGTGTGTTTGCTTGTATTCCTCATGTTGTGGGGACATTATAAAGTCAGTCACATGTGGGGACAGGGGGAGGGTGAAAAACAAGTCCTCTGAATATTAGTATTAGATTACTACATTTAAAGGTGAATTCCTGGTTTATTATTAGACTTCCAATAAATTATGGCAAGTCCATGTAATGTCCTCAGAAGTAATGGAAATAGGACTCTGTGATGATTACTGGTTACTTGACACATGGTCTAAATGCTGGGATTACTGACATTAGCTAAATTAGATTCCAGTGTGTGCACATATCTGGATGTGTACGCACTTGGACGGCTGTGTGCAGGTTGGGGCACATGGAGGGGCCGACTGCAGGTGTCCATGAATATTTTAATATTTCAGTCTTGTCTCATATTGCTTTCTGCTGACCTCCCATCTCACTGCCTGCCACTCACAATGAAAGAAGAAGGAAGAGAGAGGAAGGAGGAAACGGTGAGTAAAAGAGAGGGAGGGTGTTGAAGAAGAGGGACCTGAAAGAACGGGGAAGACAGCTTCTTGCACCATTTCCCATAGCTCTCTTTGTGACCACAACTGTCAGTTAGGAAGGAAGAAAAGATGAGGGGCTAGGGTGAGTGAGCGCATGAGTGCTTGCATGGTGAAGGTGGTGGGGGGCTTCTTGCTGCTGGTTTTTGTTGTTTGAGGAGCGAGAGAGGCAGGATTGTAGGATAATACAGGGGTAAAAAAAAAACCAACTATTAAACTTTTAAGAAATTTTACACTTTATGAAAACCTTTTTGTTTGTCTAGAATTTCACCTGTGGTTTTCAAGCAGGAGAGTGGAAATAATTGATAAAAATCCAGTTTCAGAGATCTTCACAGACTGGTGTGGGGAAGTGTGAGCTGGGAAATTGCCCCTGAGTCTTCTGACCCACTGACCCTGTGTCAGCATCTGCAGAAGGAGGAGCATTTTACATCTATCAGAGAGGTACACTCTCTCTCTCTCCTGGCTTTTCATCACTGTTTCTGATGTTGATCCATTACTTATTGTTGTTTGTATTGTTGTGATGTTTTGTTTGTTTATTTGTTTTCCCTTTTTGTTCCTCAACTTTAATGGGTAATACTCAAATATTATCTATAAACATTATAGTGTACAGTACCACGCAAAAGTAATGATTACTTTATATTTTTTCCTTCCAAGCCAGCCAACCCATTCTTGTAAATTTGTTCTGTCTTTAGGCACTTTGTTACTAGCAGCCTGTGACAGAAGCACATCATTTTTCACATTCAACAGAAAAACAGTATGCCCTTCAGTTGATCCACTGTTCACTGAAGGGCCAGTGCAGGGTCTCAGTGAAGGGTGGCTGTCAAGAAGCCATTCATAAGAAGGGAAACAGGGAGAAAAGGCTGATATATGTCAAATTACACAAGAATTGGACTTAAAATCAGTCACAACAGGCCTTAGGAATGAATCTCAATTTTAAAGTTTTGGTTCAAATCATCTTTAACATGAACAACAGTGAGTCTCTACAGCCATCTGTAAAACCTGGTAGAGCTTCCATCATGTTAGACTTCAACATTACTGAAGCAGTGTGGGATCATCTTGACAGAGAACGGAACAAAAAGCAGCCAACGTCCAAAGAAGAGCTTTGAATGTCCTTCAAAAAAGCCTGGCCACGTGTACCTGGAGACTGCTTAAATAAATTAGAATAAAGCCTAAGAGTGACTGTACTGAAGAATAAAGGTGGTCTTACAAAATATTGACTTTCATCCTTATTCGAATTGTACAAACTGTTTTTGCCTTGTAGTGTGTATTTACATTTATGTTTGCACATTTCAGCAAATCACTGCAAATCCTTCTTAATTCACTTACAAATATAAAGAAATGAGGGCTGGGAGGAGAGCTTTGCTTTGGTGTCAACATGTCTATTAGTCTTAACAATGTTTATCTTTTGTCTTAACCCAAATCCAAAAGTATGGTATGAAGGGAATTCCATCCAGCAACTGTTTCTTTCTCTAAAAGTGGACTGCCTTTCAGATAGACTTAGTGTGATCGCTACAGCTACAAAGATTAAAGAAAATGTATATTTGCTCTCAGGCTCCTGGACTGGTAATGTTACCTGACCGCCTGCCTTTCATTGGTTCATCTGGGACTAAATCAACAGGTAATCAATGAGATTTAAGGACTATATTACTGAAGAGTTAGATAAAGTGATCTAACTCACAGCTATTATAATTAATGAGTGTTTTATTTTGTGCAATGTGGTTATTTCTGTGGCAGAGTTGCCCTTTTGACAGTGCAAGGTCTCCACAAACAAAATGATACAAGTTATGAAATCATACAAGCAGAAGTTTTCATGTAGCATAAATCCAACTCAAATTGTGTCACCTCTTTATAGACATGTCTTTATCTCACCACATGACAATATTCTGACACTGGTCAACAAATGCACTTTGTTGAACACTGTCCTTTTCAATGTGCTATAGAAAAAGAGATTGATTGATAGAATGAGGATTTTGCTACTGGGACTCTTTAACCTGCACTGTGAAAATGTTCACTTGCTCACCTTTTTAGTTAGCACTTTCCATTTTTATGTCATGATACTCGCAGTATTGGACAATGAGGATTTCAGCATTTAAGAAATACGTTTTCAAGATTAGACTTTCCATACTTTTTTCCAACAAATCAAGGCAACGTCAGCGATAAACATGGGGATAGACTTCATCAAAAAATGAAAGTTGTGGAAAAATTATATTAGGGAAATCAAATCAGTTCTTGTTAGTGCATCAGTTCCAATTACAGTTTATTGACAAAGCAAAAGTTTCTCTTACCATCTCCACTGCTTTTGTTTACAGCCAAGCCAACCCCCTCCTCTCCAGGTCTCTGGCACCCCCACCAGTCCAGTCGCAGAAAGCGTAACAGACAGCAGAAGACTTCTTTCTCCTCTGACACTCACCCTCATCCAGGACCCTCCTCCATCCTCCTCTCAGACGCCACCATGACTCCTTGGGGAAGGCTGGCTCTATCTGAGTCCTGCTTTGACTCAATTCCCAAAATACTTACTCCACGACCCTCTCCACCTCCACCCCCAGCCTCTCCTGTTCCGAGCAAATACCGTCAGCTACCCCATATCATGGCAGGAGACAAGAAGAAGACAAAGACAGTTCAGGCTCAAGTTTTAACTCTCAAATTCCATCTCCACCTGTGGCAGTCACGCAAAACAGCGCAGGTATGACTACAAAAAGGGACAGCCATTACCAAACAAAACCAGATGACAATATTACTTAAAGTCTAATGAGTCCAGCTACACACATAACGTCCCTGCAGGAACACTTGGTAGTGATTGATACCTAATAGCTGATAGTTAATTTAACGGAGCCTGTAAAATTTAAAAAGAATTCAAATAAGATCACTCACACACTTTAATATACTGTAATTATGCTTTACGATACAAAGAAAAAGTTGGCAGCAGACAGATTATTTTAAAAAATGTTTTTCATGACCCGCCAATTTCCGGGGGCGAGGTCACTGAGGCAGTTAAACAACTCCTTGGTGGCAGAGCCCCTGGTGTTGATGAGGTCCGCCCCGAGTTCCTGAAGGCTCTGGACGTTGTAGGGCTGTCCTGGTTGACACGCCTCTGCAATGTTGCGTGGAGATCAGGGCAGTACCTGTGGACTGGCAGACCGGGGTGGTGGTCCCCATCTTTAAGAAAGGGGACCGGAGGGTGTGTTCCAACTACAGGGGGATCACACTCCTCAGCCTCCCTGGGAAAGTCTATGCCAGGGTGCTGGAAAGGAGAGTTCGTCCGTTAGTTGAACCTCGGATACAGGAGGAACAATGCGGTTTCCGTCCTGGTCGCGGAACACTGGACCAGCTCTTTATCCTCTCCAGGATACTTGAGGGTGCATGGGAATTTGCCCAACCAGTCTACATGTGTTTTGTGGACTTGGAGAAGGCATTCGACCGTGTCCCTCGGGGTGTCCTGTGGGAGGTGTTGCGGGAATATGGGGTGTCTGGCCCATTGCTACGGGCCATTCGATCCCTATACAACCGTTGCAAGAGCTTGGTTCGCATTGCCGGCAATAAGTCGGACTCGTTCCCGGTGGGTGATGGGCTCCGCCAGGGCTGCCCTTTGTCACCGGTTCTGTTCATAATTTTTATGGACAGGATTTCTAGGCGCAGCCAAGTGGCGGAGGGCTTTCGCTTTGGTGGCCTCAGAATCTCATCTCTGATTTTTGCAGATGATGTGGTTCTGTTGGCTTCATCGGGTGAGGGCCTCCAGCTCGCACTGGAACGGTTCGCAGCCGAGTGTGAAGCAGCGGGAATGAGGATCAGCACCTCCAAATCTGAGGCCATGGTTCTCAGCCGGAAAAGGGTGGAGTGCCCACTCCGGGTCCGGGATGAGTTCCTGCCCCAAGTGGAGGAGTTCAAGTATCTCGGGGTCTTGTTTGCGAGTGATGGGAGAAGGGAGCCGGAGATCGACAGACGGATTGGGGCTGCAGCTGCAGTAATGCGGACGCTGCACCGGTCCGTCGTGGTGAAGAGGGAGCTGAGTGTAAAAGCGAAGCTCTCAATTTACCGGTCGGTCTACGTCCCTACCCTCACCTATGGCCACGAGCTGTGGGTAGTGACCGAAAGAACGAGATCGCGGATACAAGCGGCAGAAATGAGCTTCCTCCGAAGGGTGGCTGGCCTCTCCCTTAGAGATAGGGTGAGAAGTTCGGCCATCCGGGAGGGGCTCAGAGTAGAGCAGCTGCTGCTCCACATCGAAAGGAGCCAGCTGAGGTGGTTCGGGCATCTGACAAGGATGCCCCCTGGGCGCCTCCTGGGTGAGGTGTTCCAGGCATGTCCCACCGGGAGGAGGCCCCGGGGCAGACCCAGGACACGCTGGAGAGATTATATCTCTTGGCTGGCCTGGGAACGCCTTGGTATTCCCCCGGATAAGCTGGAGGAGGTGGCTGGGGAGAGGGAGGTCTGGGCCTCTTTGCTTAGGCTGCTGCCCCCGCGACCCGGCCCCGGACAAAGCGGATGAGGATGGATGGATGTTTTTCATGATTAATTATTAATGCTAAATGGAACACACCCAGTGTTATCACATGTAACCCATTAATTATTATTAAGTATTATGTTTCCTTGTTATTAACTATGATAACTTTAGTGCTACATTGTGTGTCTTATAAAAATACTTTGTCATGTTACATTATACAAAGCACATAAATAGAGTGAATGCAGCTAAAAATCATGTTAGCCTAGCTTTGAGTTACATTGTAAGAAGAGGAACAGAGGCATCAGTTATCAGTTAATCTGACTCATTTAACATGTATCTCCTGTTGATATTATTGTGATATAAAATATGTAATATTCTATATTTAATATTGTCCTTTAACTGTCTGTGTTTTAATACTGTCCCTGCCCTAACCAGAACATCTTTTTGCACAGGTGGAGCAGCTAAAGATTTGCAGCTGAGGCGGAGGGTGTTGCCTCAGTGTCGGCTTCCTCGTGCCCCCCGTCTCCCACCGCTTCACCCCGTCACTGACCTCAGTTTCTCTCGGAGCTTCACTTTCTCCTTCTTCGAGCTGCCGCTGCACCAGTCTCCTCGCTGGCGTGCCGAGCGTGTCAAAAACCTCTTATTGCTTTTGAAACAGATACACTACTGAAGACGCAGAGCTGCGTGTTCCTACTGATAGTTCAAATCTGCCTTTCTTGAGTATATTATTGTATTAGTAAAATGTGATATTTTATTTTCAAAGGAAGAGTGATGGGTGAGGGATTTTTTTTTTTTTTGGCACAATAGGATAAGACAATAAGACTGCATGTTATTCTATTCATTCTGTGTTCATTGCTTTTCGAGAGCTGGATTTTATTTGTTTGATGTTTTGAAATTTATTTAAAAAATAGTTTCTAAGGGTGTGAGTTCATTCCTCTGGTTTTCAGCTCCACAGCAATTTACTTACGTTCCTGTTGTGTGTATTGTGTTATGCGTTATGTGTGTGTATATTTATGAAATAAAAACAACTTTACTATCATTCTAGTTGCTCTGTTTTATCAGCTTTCTCTGTTTTAATGGCTTCTGTTTCATACAGATAGACCTCCTGTAGATTCTCATTTACTCTATAACCTTATCCCTGCCTACCTTTCTCACCCTGTTCTCTCTCTCTCCCTCTCTCTCTCACACACACACACACACAAACACACACACACACACAAACACACACACACACACGTGAGTCTGTGGAAGCTGAGCTGGAATAATAGAGGCATTCAGAGGTACTGAATGAGCTGGTGAATGGGAGGAGAAAGGGGCTGTAAACTAACTGTAATGTCCAGAGTTCAAGGCTCTTTTCCACTTTCCGTGACTCACGTGTAAAAGCGTGTGAAAGTGTGTGAAAGCTTGTGTGTGTGTGCGTTACCCTAATACATGCACTCTCACTGTCACCCAAGTGATCTCTTTGTAATAATGCGGCTTCTTGCTGATCGAGATTAAGTAAGTCTTTTTTCATTCACTGCTTTAATTTGTTTAAGTTTTCCTGAAGAAGCACTTCTTTTCGCTTTTGTCATGTGACTTTATTCACAGATTTAGCACACATGAAAACAGGTCAGCGAGGCACATTAAACAAACACAGTGTTCAAACGCAGGCAGAATGAAACTTCACTGTGCTCTCAGTAATCTTCCACAGTTATTTCAGATGGACAGCGTTGAGCAAAATGACCGGCCACGCTCCAGGCAGCTTGTTCTCGCACACGCCCTGGACGAAGCACAGCTGGATCTCCTCGGGCAGAGGCTAGAAAAGAAGTGTCTGTCACTTTCGGAGAGGGTAAAGTCACAATGTCGGTGAGTCAAAGGATAATATTTTTTGGCCTTACTGCGTTTGACCCAGCTGTGTTTATCTGAGGCTCTATAGCTGATAGCTTGTGCGTGTTTTCCTCCAGGTGTTCTGGTTCCAGGATAAAAAGCTTCGTGCTGGAGGTTATTCCCGTCCTGTCATGGCTCCCTCATTACTCCGTTAGACACAACGCCGTCGGAGATCTGGTGTCTGGCATCAGCGTTGGGATCATGCATCTACCCCAGGGTTAGGCTACAGCAACAGATAAGAGTATCATAAAAGTCACAAAAGAGTCTGAACTACAGTCTGCCACAATACCTTCACTCACAAATCTATAAAGGCTTCATTCCCCTCCCTTATCGCATTAAGATTTACAATATGACTTTGATTGATAAAGACTAAAGAACTATAATAATCTTTAACCAACAATAAATTATTAAATCCATCAAACTTTCACGTAGATCTTTGTGGCAACTTTGTGGCCCTAACCTTAATTTAAGCACTTAAGTGAGCTGTTTCTTTCTTGTGCATTTTAATATGCTGAATCCAAATATAACATCTAAAATAACTAATTCACAATCATATTTAAGTTTCTGCATTTTACAGCCTGTAAGGTTAAGGTGTAGTGTGTAGGTGGGAGGTTGTGATGCAGAGAAACATTGCTTTCATTGGATAAATATGTAAGCCTGGCCACACGTTTTAATTATTTCAAAATGGAAACTGCAACTGCCAATTCTAGAGGTCACAGCACATTGTGAAAGGAAATAATTTAAAAACATATAACTTTGCTTTGCAGCATTACAGACAAAGTGTCAAATTGAGCTAAGATTTATAATTTCAAGTTCATATCAGACTTCATATGAACCCAGTTTCATTCAAATTTGCTGAAGGGTTTAGAATGAGTGTAAATGTGAAAATTGGCACCTATATTATCCACAGATTTATTCAACACTGATTTGCACAGCCGCCTCCTTTATTCTTTTCCAGGTATGGCCAATGCCATGTTGGCAGGAATTCCTCCAGCATTTGGTCTGTACGCTTCTCTTTATCCTCTGATCGTCTACTTCATCTTTGGCACTTCCAGACACCTCTCCATCGGTGATTCTTACATTTGACGCTTTTTCTGGATTTTCCTACAGTCATT